TCGTAGCGATGCTTAAAGTCCGTCGGAATCATGTTAGCATTAGCTGCATTTATGAAATCTGGCAGATGGATGTCAAGACAAGTTTCCTTACCAGTTTTCGTAAGGAAAGGTTGTATGCAATACAATCAGAAAAGTTTTGTCGATCCTAAGGATGCTAAAAGGTATGCTAGCTCCAGCGATCCTTCTAAGGACTGGAGTAAGCATCTCGGAGTTGGAATGTACGCTTTGATGAGATGATCAAAGATTTTGGATTTATACAAAGTTTATGAGAAACTTGTATTTCCAAAGAAGTGAGTGGGAGCACTATAGAATTTCTGATAAGTATATGTTGTTGACATATTGTTATGGATCAGAAATGACGTAGAATTTCTAGAAAGCATATAAGGTTATTTTGAAAGTGTTTTTCAATGGAAAGCCTGGATTAAGCTACTTGAACATTGAGCATCAAGATCTATAAGGATAGATCAAAATGCTTAATACTTTCAAATGAGCACATACCTTGACATGATCTTGAAGGTGTTCAAGATGGACCAGTCAAAGAAGGAGTTCTTGCCTGAGTTGTAAGGTACGAAGTTAAGACTTAAAGCTCGACCACGGCAGAATAGAGAGAAAGGACGAAGGTCGTCCCCTATGCTTAAGACGTAGGCTCTTCAGTATGCTATGCTGCGTACCGCACCTGAAGTGTGCCTTGCCATGAGTCAGTCAAGGGGTACAAGAGTGATCCATGAATAGATCACAGGACAGCGGTCAAAGTTATCCTTAGTAACTAGTGGACTAAGGAATTTTCTCGGTTATGGAGGTGATAAAGAGTTCGACGTAAAGAGTTACGACGATGCAAGCTTAACACCTATCCGGATAGCTCTGAGTAGAGATACCGGATACGTATAATGGAGCAACAATTTAGAATAGCTCCAAGTGGAACAGTTATTTGGAATGGCTCCAAATAGAACGTGGTAGCTACATCTAGGAGATGACATAGAGATTTGTAAAGCACACACGGATCTGAAAGGTTCAGACCCGTTGACTAAAACCTCTCTCACAAGCAACATGATCAAACATAAAACTCATTGAGTGTTAATCACATAGTGATGTGAACTAGACTACTGACTCTAGTAAACTCTTGGGTACTAGTCACATGGCGATGTGACCTGTGAGTGTTAATCACATGGCGATGTGAACTAGATTATTGACTCTAGTGCAAGTGGGAGACTGTTGGAAATATGCCCTAGAGGCAATAATAAAAGTATTATTATTATATTTCCTTGTTCATGATAATTGTCTTTTATTCATGCTATAACTGTATTATCCGGAAATCGTAATACACGTGTGAATACATAGACCACAATATGTCCCTAGTGAGCCTCTAGTTGACTAGCTCGTTGTGATCAACAGATAGTCATGGTTTCCTGGCTATGGACATTGGATGTCGTTGATAACGGGATCACATCATTAGGAGAATGATGTGATGGACAAGACCCAATCCTAAGACTAGCACAAAAGACCGTGTAGTTCATTTGCTAGAGCTTTGCCAATGTCAAGTATCTCTTCCTTCGACCATGAGAGCGTGTAACTCCTGGATACCGTAGGAGTGCTTTGGGTGTATCAAACGTCACAACGTAACTGGGTGACTATAAAGGTGCACTACAGGTATCTCCGAAAGTATCTATTGTTTTATGCGGATCGAGACTGGGATTTGTCACTCCGTGTAAACGGAGAGGTATCTCTGGGCCCACTCGGTAGGACATCATCATATGCGCAATGTGACCAAGGAGTTGATCACGGGATGATGTGTTACGGAACGAGTAAAGAGACTTGCCGGTAACGAGATTGAACAAGGTATAAGGATACCGACGATCGAATCTCGGGCAAGTACAATACCGATAGACAAAGGGAATTGAATACGGGATTGATTAAGTCCTTGACATCGTGGTTCATCCGATGAGATCATCGTGAAACATGTGGGAGCCAACATGGGTATCCAGATCCCGCTGTTGGTTATTGACCGGAGAACGTCTCGGTCATGTCTGCATGTCTCCCGAACCCGTAGGGTCTACACACTTAAGGTTCGATGACGCTAGGGTTATAAAGGAAGTTTGTATGTGGTTACCGAATGTTGTTCGGAGTCCCGGATGAGATCCCGGACGTCACGAGGAGTTCCGGAATGGTCCGGAGGTAAAGATTTATATATGGGAAGTCCTGTTTTGGTCACCGGAAAAGTTTCGGGCGATATCGGTATTGTACCGGGACCACCGGGAGGGTCCCGGGGGTCCACCAAGTGGGGCCACCTGCCCCAGCAGGTTGCGTGGGCCAAGTGTGGGAGGGGACCAGCCCCTAGGAGGGCTAGTGCGCCCCCCACAAGGGTGCAAGGCGCAAGGAAGAGTGGGAGGGGGCAAACCCTAGTCCAGATGGGCCTTAAGGCCCATATTGGTGCGCCTCCCTCTCCTCTCCCCTCTTGGCCGCCACCCCCTTTGCCATCTAGGGCTGGCCGCACCCCTTGGGGGTGGGAAACCCTAAAGGGGGCGCAGCCCCCCCTTCCCCCTATATATAGTTGAGGTTTGGGGCTGCCATACACATGAGTTCTCTTCCTCTTGGTGCAGCCCTGCCTCTCTCCCTACTCCTCCTCTCCCATGGTGCTTGGCGAAGCCCTGCTGGATTGCCACGCTCCTCCACCACCACCACGCCGTTGTGCTGCTGTTGGATGGAGTCTTCCTCAACCTCTCCCTCTCTCCTTGCTGGATCAAGGCGTGGGAGACGTCATCGGGCTGTACGTGTGTTGAACGCGGAGGTGCCGTGCGTTCGGCACTTGATCATCGGTGATTTGAATCACGACGAGTACGACTCCATCAACCCCGTTCACTTGAACGCTTCCGCTTAGCGATCTACAAGGGTATGTAGATGCACTCTCCTTCTACTCGTTGCTGGTCTCTCCATAGATAGATCTTGGTGACACGTAGGAAAATTTTGAATTTCTGCTACGTTCCCCAACAGTAGTTTCACTGTGTCCCTCGTCGAGAAAAAACTAGAATCCAATGTCCAACTTCATCTTTTCCGTGAAGCTCTTCAAGAGGTGCTTCAAAAACTCTAGTTCGAAGAGACCTCGTGGAGTTGGGGAAAAGTTAACCCCTGCTGTCACCCGTAAGTTTTTTTCTCGAGAAAACATCCAATCTATCCATCTTCAATCATGGCAATACAACGAACACCAGAAATAATAAAAATTACATCCAGGTCCGTAGACCATCTAACGACGACTACAAGCACTGAAGCGAGCCGAAGGCGCGCCGCCGTCATCGCCCCTCTCTCGTCGGAGCCGGGCAAAACTTGTGTAGTAGACAATCGGGAAGTCATCGTGCTAAGGCCCCATAGGACCAGCTCAGCAGAACAGCAACCGCCGCCGATGAAGAGTAGCGTAGATCGGAAGGATCCAACCTGAAGAAACACAAACGTAGACAAACTACGACCAGATCCGAGCAAATCCACCAAGGATAGATCTGCCGGAGACACACCTTCACACGTCCACCGATGATGCTAAACACACCACCGGAATGGGGCTAGGCGGGGAAGACCTTATTCCATCTTAAGGGAGTCACCGATGTCTCGTCTTCCTGAGCAGGATACAAATCCTAACAAAACTTGAAGAAACATCTAAAAACGGAGTCCTCCCAAAGGCAAGGGCCGGGATCCACCGCGCTGCCATGGTCCTAAAGCCACCGGAGACGAGGCAGACCGGCGGCGACGCCGACGGGAGGCAAAGGAACCCTAAGCTTTTCTTGGGAAAGAGGCTGCTCTCAAACACGAGCCTCCATAGATCCGATCTTATAGTATTGTTACACATTTAAAAATGCTAAAGCAAGAGTATTTGTACCATATATCAATATAAAAAGATCCAAAGGAAAAGATCCAACAAATCTCGACCATCATGCCAATCCGGCAACCTATATTGCTTCAATGGCGAGCGATGCACATGTTTAGCATGCAATTAATAATTTAATATCATACAAAATATTAACATCTGCACTATCCACGTAATTAATGTGCAATTGATTTACTTCCTAATATTAACATGCATGCACATACACATTTACTAGTAGTAACAGAAACGAGAGAAATTGCGAAACAGCATGTGGTTGAATGGTCAGGAGGACAATTGTATCCCCAACCCACCAGGGTCAAGTCCGGGACTTAGACAGCGGTGCTCGCATTTTTCTAGATTTATTTCAGGTCTTCACACGATTCCCGACTACCAGGGTGTTTGTGGTGCCTTTGTCAATATTAAGATGATGTGGTGACCCAGTCTTTCAGAGATGGTCATAGAGGTAGGACGTGCGTGCGCATATTCATGGGGTTGATGTGCGTATGTATGAGCGTCTGTTCTCGTACTGTGTTTGTGTTTTAAAAAAAGCAAAGCAGAAATTCATGTTGAGAAATAACGAAATACACAAAGCATCCTTAACCTGAGTTTATCAATGAGCATTCAACCCTCTGAACTTTCAATAGGGCTTTGACGGACGATTCGGTTAATCCGTCAGTCTATGGACATCTGATGATGGAAATCAAGAAGCTCCTGCAGCTTCGAGGGTTTGTTCCGCTTTTAATTGATCATAATTAAAATAGTCTTACTCATAGTCTAGCTAATGTAGGGAAAACTGGAGATAGCACCACCAGGTTTCAGACAGTATCAAACAACTTGTATTAGCGGACTGCAACGCTGTTAAGAACCCACTTTACTCGGGAAAAAAAACTGAGTTGCTGATTGGACGCTGACATGGTAGTGCCAGACAAGCGCACCGGAGCCAGACCACGTACACGTGGTACACCATCCATCCACTCAGTACGGTCGTACTGTCGTCGTCGCGCCGCGTGTCACGGTTGGCGGCCGTTCAACGCAGGGTATAAGTAGCGGGCACCCAAGGGCTAGTCCGAATCGTTGGCGCTCTAAATAATCTCGTCCACTGACTCCCTCCCCTGCCTATCCACTCTGCTCCATCTCCAGCTCCACCGCCATGGATTTATCCTCCCTAGCGAGGCCGCAGGCGCTCCGCGGCGGCTCCACGGGCGCTCTGGGCGCCCACGCCGCCCGACGCCGCTCCGTCCAGCTGCTCCACCCGCGCAGGCCCACATTCCGCTGCTCCGTCGAGGCAGCCAAGTGAGTGCACGCCAAACCTCGTACCGCTACCCAGCCTGCTGATCGATCCTCCCGCGAGCTGCAACAACCATAGGTCTGAGGAGTGCGCTTTTGTTTTCATGCGTCTGCACCGCCAGGCAGCAGGTGCAGGGGACGCTAGCGGCGGAGGCGGAGGCGGCGCGCAAGGAATGCTTCGGGGTCTTCTGCACCACCTACGATCTCGAGGCGGTCAGTCGTCCTCACTGCTCTCCCTCAACGTGTTTGTTGAAATGATCGGCTAGTGTCTGGCTGGGTTGGCGCGCGCTCCGCTGGAAGCGTTACTGGTACCGGGACTACGATGTTACGCCTCAGTCGATCTTCTCGATTGTGGCTGGGATTTGGTCATGGCTTTTGAATTGAGAGAAGAAAGAGGCTTCTTTTTTTTTATGATACAGCGTTGAGCGAACACTGCGCCTGATGTTGATCTGTTAATATGTGATGAAGCCGTATCATTGCATGATGATTTACACTCCCTGTCTTGATTGATCAGTGGATATTCATACGGCATAATTGAACGTGCTTAACTAATACAGAGCTGCTCGATCGTATTAATCTGTGCTCCTCCTGTCAAACGGAACGCAGGATGAAAAGACCAAGTCCTGGAAGAAATTAGTGAACGTTTCTGTGTCAGGTGCGGCCGGGATGATATCGAATCATCTGCTCTTCAAAGTAAGTAGCACCGAGTAATAAAAACATTGTCTTCATCCAATTTATTCAAATTTTGTCTATGTAGAGGTGTTGACTGACCTTGTCAACAATTCTCCTCCTTTTATTGAAAATGCATAGACAAGAATGGCACAGTAATAGTCACAATATTCTCATTTACCAGATGCAAGTGCAGTATATATTGATATTGACAAGTACTGCCTAGTGATAATTCTACTGTTGCCACTACGACAACCGAAGCTATGCTATGCACATAACTGATTGGCACTTTCCTCTTTGCTGATGTATCATCCTTGTGCTTAATTACAATCGACCGACCATATTCTTGTCTTGAAATTTTGCGTCTAGCACATCAGAAAGTATTGATCATTTATATGACTGCATTTTTGTAGCTTGCCTCCGGTGAGGTTTTCGGACAGGACCAACCAATAGCACTTAAGTTATTGGGCTCAGAAAGATCATTACAAGCACTCGAAGGTAGCTTCGCTAACTTATTTTGCTTGACATTTGAGAAGCAACATCGATCCATCTTAATTTGCTACATGATACACATTTTAAACTGCATTCCAAATTCCAATTTTGCTGTACTCCCAGGTATAAATGAATTACTGAGACAGGGCAATATCGCCCTTCTTCCTAATGCTTTCTTATAATTACAACTGCAGGTGTAGCTATGGAACTGGAGGATTCATTGTATCCATTGCTAAGAGAAGTCAGCATCGGCATAGATCCTTATGTGATCTTCGAAGATGCAGATTGGGCCCTTCTAATTGGGGCCAAACCCAGAGGACCTGGAGTGGAGCGAGCTGCGTTACTAGATATCAATGGTCAAATCTTCGCTGAACAGGTTTCCTTTTGCATTCTTTTCCTTATTATATGTCAAGTATACTGTCATGAAATCGTAAGAACCCATTCTGTAAAAGAGACATTATTTTTCTTTGTGGGAGAGTACTCCCTCCGTTCCTAAATATAAGCCCTTTTAGATATTCCAGTAAGTACTACATACAGAGCAAAATGAGTGAATCTACGCTCTAAAATATGTCCATATACATCCGCATGTAGTCCGTATTAAAATCTCTAAAAGGCTTATATTTAGAAACGGAGGGAGTATATCTCAAACTTTGACATTTAACTATGTGGTTCCTTAGATGCAAAATGTGCCCTGTCCTCTTGCATATTCGACGGAGGGGGAACTATGGGATTCCTTAGCATGAAACCTGCTAAAAACTTGAACATAAATCTGATTTAAGTTTTTAACAGATATATGAGTACACAAATGATCACAGAATAGTTGTATTGTTATTGGCTGAAATTTTGAATTGTCTCAGGGGAAAGCACTTAACGCTGTGGCATCTCGGAATGTGAAAGTCATAGTTGTTGGGAACCCCTGTAACACTAAGTATGGACAGGTTTTGTGGTTGCTAAGTGTGTTATTGATTTATGCTATTATCATGTCTGACTTGGAGTATATGCTTCTTGTAGTGCTTTGATCTGCTTGAAAAATGCTCCCAACCTACCAGCAAAGAACTTTCATGCATTGACAAGGTTGGATGAAAATAGAGCCAAGTGTCAGGTACTTGATGTTGAATCTTAATTATTTCTGATATGTTTCTGTTATTTTATTTTAACAAATGACAAGACTAATCTGCTATTCACAATGTTTTTGCAGCTAGCGTTAAAAGCTGGTGTGTTTTATGACAAAATATCAAATATGACTATTTGGGGAAACCATTCAACAACTCAGGTGAAGATATGATTACAAACATGGCTAGTGTGTTGGTAGTGCTTTGGAGTACTGATTTGATGATTTCCACCTGAGTAGGTTCCTGATTTCTTGAATGCCAAAATTAATGGGACGCCAGTAAAAGAAGTCATCAAAGATACAAAGTGGCTAGAAGAGGATTTCACTATAACTGTTCAAAAGGTACACACTGTTCCACATTTATCTGCAATTCATCTATCATTTGGGACAACTAAGAGAATATTGTGTATTCATTCCAATGGCTATCCAGCGTGGAGGTGTGCTCATCCAAAAGTGGGGCAGATCTTCAGCTGCATCAACAGCTGTTTCCATCGTCGATGCCATGAGGTCCCTCGTAACTCCTACCCCGGAAGGAGACTGGTTCTCTACAGGGGTAATGTTTTCTACTCTAGGATTGTTGATTGCTTCTTTTGTTTTGGTGTACCACTGAAGCAAAGGCGATGCCAAACCATAGGTTTATACGACCGGAAATCCTTATGGCATAGCAGCAGACATTGTATTCAGCATGCCGTGCAGATCAAAGGTAAGATTTCAAACTGAAATCCCCGTTACTTTTCTTCCTGATAGGAATATTATACAAGATGGCAATTTGCACTCTGACATTATTCATACAGGGCGATGGTGACTATGAACTAGTTAAAGATGTGGCGATGGACGATTTTCTCTGGGGCCGGATCAAAAAGGTAGCATTGAGTTGTAGAAATAATGGTTGGTAATATGCAGTATAATGATGGAATAACCGATCATGTAATGATTCCTTCAGAGTGAAGCTGAACTGATTGCTGAGAAAAGATGCGTTGCCCATCTTACAGGGGAGGTAAGTGATGTCGAAGAGTACTTGGGCTCTTGTTGCAATGAAGGGCAAATGCTGCTACAGAAATTACTAACATGTCATATGTTGTGTTGTTGCAATGTAGGGTAATGCATTTTGTGATCTTCCTGGGGATACAATGCTTCCTGGAGAGATGTAGTGCTACTGCTATCGATGATACTAGCAATCTGCCAATTGCTACCAGGATGTCATGTTATTATTAGAAGGCAACGTTCCCAACGCCAACTGGAAGAAGGATAGTTGAGAGAAACGACTGCTTGCAGGCTGCGGCAGCTATTTATCTTGTGTGTATTTAATAAGCACGCAGACTTTTGTTGTGCACTAGTAATATACGTATAAAGCAAAAGAATTTTCATAATAAAAAGGGCAAAAAGCCATATGGAGCAGAGTGTTTTTTTTTTTTGAACTGGAATATCCATTCCAAACCTTAAACTTGCGCAGCATAATCGCTGGCCACCAGGTCTTGTACAAAATCTGGAACTTGTTCCTACCAAAAGCAGCAAAACTGAGCTACAGTGTTACAAGAACGTTTGCAGAAATTAAATTGAAAAGCATCCAAGGACCTTGCTTCCCGCAACAGAACACCGATGGACGAAAGATCATAGTCTCTAGAATTGATAGCATTAACCAGTTGTAAAGAGTCGGATTCAAAAATCGCTTGATGAAGTCCCATCTCGCTCGCGGCTTCAATGGCCTTGTTGCACGCCGTAGCTTCAGCCTGGAGGGATGAGATAAGGTAGTCCAGCTTTCCTGCATACGCCGCAATGAACTCCCCTTGTCCCGAATGCGCCACACAGCCCTAAGCACCTCTTCCCTCTTCAACATAAAAAGCAGCATCGAAATTTATTTTAACAAACCCTGCCTTCCCTTCGGTTTTCTCCAAACTTGAACTATAGCTGGCAATGTATGTGCCTGAATACTTCCTTCCTCAACATAGAAATCCGTCAACAGTTTCCTAACATAATACGCCACTCCAGCAGCCGGCTTAATCTTTTCTCCCTGATTAGCCATATTCCGAACATTCCACCACTCCCAGAGAAATACAAGCAATCAGGGGAAAGTATCGGGTGCTCCCAGCCTTGAGGTACTCCCGGTGCTCCAATGTTATAAAAACATTTTTAAATGTTCCAAAAAATTCTAGAAAAAAAATATGAATGTTAACAAGGAATGTGACTACCATCCCTAAAAATTTCAGGTCCAAAATCAAAACACACATTGAGAAACAAAAAAGTAAAATCTAGTACGAATAGTGTAAAAAAAAGACTAAAGCAACATTGACACTATTCACATCTGGATTTGTCTTTTTTGTTTCTCAATGTGCATTTTGAGTTTGGAGCTGAAATTTTTAGGGGTTGTAGTCATATTCTTTGTGAACATTCAGAATTTTTTTCATAATTTTTTGAAATGTTTAAAAATATATTTTTTGTCATTGGAGCACTGGGAGCACCTGATACTTTCCCCAAGCATCAGGTCACGCTTTTCAGGTTTCAGCGACCACAAGTGATCAAAAATAGCATCAGGATTTACACATTCCAGCAATACGAGCCTGACATCCTCAAGCTGCAATACCCTCCAGACTTGCTTTACCAACTTACACTTCAAGAACAGATGTCCCCCATCCTCATCCAGGCGCAAGCACATCGGACATCTAGTATCCAGGTCAACGTGTTTCCTCTTGATGTTCATTCGCAAAAGCAACGACTTGTGTGACGGACGCCATAGGAACGTACGAATTTTAGGAGGCAGGCTCAGACTCCAAAATCTATTCCATCTTTGTGAGGCCTGCGGCACTACGGCAGACGAGCTTGCATCTCGCAACCTCGTTCCCAAGTGATATGCAGATTTCACAGGGAATAAGCCTTTCGTGTCAAAATGCCACGCTACCAGATCGTCCATGCCACTATCAACAGGGATAGCAAGTATCTCTTTTGCATCTTCTTCACAGAACAGTTCTGTCACGAGCTCAACATCCCAGGTTTCCGTAATCAGGTCCATCAAATCGCTAAAACCCGGTCAATGAGTATATGGAGCAGAGTGTTACATTGAGGTTTACTTACAGCAGAGAAACAGAAATATTGAGTGGAAGCTATGATCGGCTAGGCAAAAAGAAAAGAAAGAAGAGAACGAAAGGAGAACGAAACTTTGTATTTGGTAACTCTCCTGTAATTATGTTTAACCTTGAATGCAATTTATAGATTTGACAGCAATAGTCCCTCTGACTCGAAAGTAAAAATCCAATAGCAGATTCCGTTTCGAAAAAAAAAATCCAATAGCAGATTCCGTAGCTGGCACTGTTGGAACTAATGAAGCAAATGATTGACCCATCATATCATCCCAAGAAACGGAAATGAGAGTGCCAACAAGATCCAGAATGCAGCGGCAAAATTGCAGCCGAACACAAGATCGTCAGCCGTTTCGCTCAGAGGGAGAGATAATCAGCGCAACATCCCCTTGTGTTGATCCTCCTCTGGACAAGCAGCCAGGCAATGGGATGGCACCCTGCTCTTCCAGATGAACGAGGCGAAGCAGCACAGATGGTAGGTCTTTTTTTAGGCTGAAAACACTATGTTAAAGGCAGGCAGCAATGCCCATGACGGCTACCCTTGCCACCGAGAGCATGCGAGTTTAGAATTTTGTTCAAACCTGACAAATGACAACACATACAGAGCTGAAGCATCCTGAGCTTGGGTTCAGCCGCCAACTTGGTATTTGTATTTACAACATTCTACGCTGAAACTACCTAACGAACATGGATAACTGCAACACCACCATGCACTTGATTATTAAGCAGTTCTAATATCACTGGAGGAATTCATTGATACAGCACTAACTCCTCTCAGGCTGCAAAACGGTACCACTAATGCTGTCGAATTTAACAGATGCACAAGGTCATGTCATGCAATGCCATACATTTAGGCCATCAGGAGGTCCCCAGTCCTCGCCTCAACACACATACAATTACCTACGTCATAATAATATTTTTATACCCAATACCGGGCGGGCAGGCCAGGTTACTTGCCGTAGATGCACAGGCCCACCTCGTAGCTCACCAGGAGCATTATTGCTGACAGGAAAAAGAGACAGAAGCCGCCGCGCAGCACCGCAGTCACTGTGTTGCAGCCACCACAGTGTATGCGGTTATCAGGCTGGAAACCTGTGGAGAAGAGAAGCTCCATGTCTTCATCCTTCTGGAACGACCACTTGCCTTGTCGAGAAGCAACAGTTAAGCTTCCTATGCTGATTACTTCGGTAGACACGCTGATGGTGTTAGGGTGCACACCAGACAAGGATTTGCCTGGGAACTCTGCTGCAAAAGCAGGGGGAGCCGAGATTGAATCCAGCATCTTTACAAAACGCCCATTCTTAGCCTGAGAATCTGTCCAACACAATTACCATAACTTTTCAGTAATCTTCATTTACGGCTACAACATCCAAGTTAACATTGCCCTGATTAAGCACAACCAAAAGCTTGTTTTTCTTTGCAAGATGCACAAAATGATCCTGCTTAATCAGGGCAAGTAAATATAACTGCAAACGTTCCCTCAGGGTGACATAGATAGAGATACTGGATCAATAGTTGAATAGGTACTAAAGAGCAAAATATAGCAAAGGATAGCTGGCCTGTTCTTTTCCATAATAACATTACCTGGTAAAACAACACAATTTAACTGACCACCAGCTTCAGATAACCTAGTGGACGACAGGGCCCCAACTACAAAATTAGGTTCTACAACCTTTTGAGTTGGACTATATGTATAGTTGGGATTGTTGACCTGTAAAAGTAGTGTGTGAGTACATCAATGATCTGCACAAAGTGCAGTGAGTTCATCTCTTACATGAACTGGTAGCATACCTCTTGAGTAAGAACTGGCCCATTAAAGACATGGGAGCTGCTCCCAGCCGACTGCTGTACAGAGCACATCATATCATTAAATAAATTATTATCGTCCATTGCATCATAGTATGGAATACCATCATCCAGTGTCTCGATACCAGATAGAATGGTTGCTGGGGAGCCGAGAAATCCATTCGTCTGTCTAAATCCATCACTGAACATTGAGTTATCAAAGGGCGCATCAAAATACATAAGAGAATCATCTTCTGGCTTGACTGAATTTGTAATAGAAGAGTGTGGGAGATCAGTCATAGTTGAGCCCAACTGGGAGGAGTCATCTTGTAGTGTCTGCAACAACTGGGCCAACTCATCTGGCTGGAAAGGCTGATCACCAGTGATCAGAGGGACCTCATTGTTGGCCCCGTTTACAGCATCCAAGGGGAAAGCTGTTTTCCAGGCCCAACCATCAGAAGGCCAGATAGTGGAATCATTGCCTAGAGGTAACTCCAAATCCTTCAGCTCTAGGAATTCATCATTGGGGCTAGAACTATTAAGAAAATCTCCAACATTGGCATTAAATAACATATTTTCATTAAGCATTGGGTTATTTTGTTCTCCAGGATGAATATACTGAAGAAAATTAGAACCAAGACTTGGGTCATTTAAAATGTCCCCTGAATTTCCTTCTACGTCTTCAGAATGGCTGCTGGTGTTTGAAGTGTCAGAAACCGGCAAAACAACACTGCCATTCTCATTTTGACCAGCCAAGTCCTGAATTTGAGGGGGAAAGTGTGTTAGAAAAACTGGCATATTAGGTAAAGAAATGATCAGAGCAAAACAAAGAAATTACCCATAAAGCATAATCGCATGCGAATAAAGTAAAAAATAGTCCTGTGTGGATAAATAGTATGCTAAAAAATTATTACGTTCAACAGAATTATAGCTTAGAATACATATGTACTCCCTTCTTTCCTAAATATAAGTCTTTTTAGAGATCACAATATGGACTACATACGGAGCAAAATGAGTGAATCTACACTCTAAACTGTGTCTATATACATCCGTATCTAGTCCATATTGGAATCTCTAAAGACTTATATTTAGGAATGGAGGGAGTATGTTTGATCATCTCTGACACGCAGACCTTGTGAAGTTCAGTCTCGTCTGATCTTTTACTGGTTATAGAGTTTATGGCGGCGCTGACCATCCGAAAAGTCAAAAGATGGCGTTGGCATTTATAAAGTTATTAAAGACAAAAAAGACAACACAGAATTACAACCTTTTTAGTGCTCATAGACCTGAAT